ACCTGGAACAACATTTATTATGATGATGTGGGAACAACACGACACGAGGATATCAGATTGTGCAGGAGAAATGCAGACAAGCAGACAGAGGAGAGCTTAAGTTTGACCAGGTACCAAAGCAAATCATTCGTACTGTTCAAATAATGTAAATATGACGGTGTATCACGAAAGATATCAAACTGATCTCTTGACCAGAGGCAGAGCCAGACATTTTATACAAATTATCTATGGAAAAGGAATACTTGAATAATATTGACCCTGAAAATGTCATTGATAGGTTCGCAAAACTCAAGCCTCGAAGATACAGTCTCATGTTACCACAATAAAGAGGTGTTGTCAGTGTAGTGCAGGTCTATGATGATTTTTAGTGCTACTATCATCTAGTTCTGATTCTGGTTCTGTCTTGGTTAAATCCTCAGTAGTCCTGATTTTGAACTGTTGTCCTGTTTTAATTCCAGATCAGTTCTGGGTCTGGTTGAATTGGGGTTTAGTCCGCGTGTCTTGATACAGTCCTGATTTTGTTCTGTCTTTCTGCTTAATTAAAAATCTAGTTTAAGGTGTCCTGCATATGTGATTTTTTTTTTCTTATATGAAGTCAATTCTTTTTTGAACAAAACTCAAAACAGAGCATAATAAATCTTCAACTTCACAGCATGTTTTTAGTCATTTCTATTTTGCCCACTTCACACCAGAAAGCGGAAACCAGCGGCTGAACAACAGCAGCATGTTTAAGCGTGTTAAGCTGTTTGTCACGGCGAGTGAGCCGTGTGGAGAAATAAAGGAGGATCCAAACGCAGGCACTTGTAAAGGTGTGAGGGTGGTTTATTAAACACAAAATAAAAATGGACAAATGGCGAACGGAGCAAAGACTAAACTATACTGGGAGCAAACTGACTACAGAACACGACCCTGAACATGAATGAGAGCGAGCAGATGACGGTTGACAGCAGGGAAACACACAGATGAAGCAGGGTGGATACACAGACGGACCAGCAACTACAGAGACAGAAGACACAACTTAAATACACACAGAAACACAGGGAGATTACACACAGGTGGTGGACACAGCTGGGAGTAATTAACGAGACGAGACAAGGGAGGCAAACTGAACACACTCACATGAGACGCAGACCTTCACAATAAAACAGGAAACAAGAGATCACTACACAAAGACGCAGACTCGACACTGAGA